GAAAGTATCTGTTTTTGTATTAAATAATTACTTCTCTTGTTTGTAGTTGACCTGTCAAATACAAGATACAGAGTGTCCTTCCGGCTTTGATTAAATATAAAGCAATAGTTGGAATTAGGAAGGTTTATTATTCAAACAGGTAAATTGATGCATTTTTTAAATTTTTTTTCTTTTAGCTCCTTAATAAAACTGGTTATCCTTTGTTTCTGTATATCATATTTGTATCGTGTATTGTACTGTACATAATAAATCAGGCTGTACAGTGACCTATATTGTTAAGTTCTATGTCAATTTGTCTCTGGTAAAGAGTTGTCTCATTGGCAATCATACGACATGTTCTTATTGTTTATATATGCATATATGAAGCATCACATTCATATAAAAATAGTTATATAAGAAAATCAAGAAGACCACCAAAGACCAAATGATGTAGATGTAAGCATCTATATATAGGTTGCTTTGCTGTCTTCAACAATAAGCAAAACCCATGCCATAGTAAGCTTTAAAAGGCCTTGACACAAATGTAACCCCCCCCCCCCCCCCCCCCCTCCCCTATTACTTTTACCTTGGACAGTTGGTCACAGTACAACATAAGAACAAACTGTAAACAATGGTAAAAGTTAGTGAAAAAGGCTCAACCTCTTCAGATCAACACATAGCACAAAAAGGCAAAATTTACTTGCAGTTACTGAAAGCTAGTTCAAATATAACTATAACTTATGGAGAAGTCATGTTTCTAAGACAAAAAAAAAATCATTGGTACACATTCAATGGATTTAGTTTAAATTCAGAAGCCCATAATAATATTATTGAACTTATTACTATACAAAAACAGGTGTACAGATAATCTGAAGGGATAAACATATAGTATAGGAATATATAATCTAATGGTATCCTGCTTCTGCTTGGAAACAGTCATGTTCAAATTGCTTTTTATTTTAATTTTCAATCATGGGTTCTCTTTGCAATCCCCATTAAAGCCAATGCTATGAAATAGGAGAAATGCTATGCGAGCATTGTTTTTCTTCCTGTTTTATAAGTTGTGTAAATACAATGTATGCTGTAAGTTCAGAAATTTTTGTGAGATTTTTATAAATGTGAATAATGCAACTGTATGAGAATCACATTCTGATATCCAATACATATAACTATGCATATTTTCCTGAAATAGCAATAATAAAAACATTGCATTTTTGTTCTGGTTCAATAGTTGCAATAATTAAATTAATGCAATTAAATTGAATTTACATTATTATATACATAGGCTCCTCAAATAGGAATGCTCAAATCTGGTTTAGGATAAGATTTTTTACAGTTGTTTGCAATTGCAAATGTATCTAAATTGTTTTTTTTTTATTTTAGGAAACGGATATGAATGAATGAAGATTTGTTTCCCTCTTCAATTATTCTGAAAGATGAAAGGCTGATGATTGAACGGTCTTGAAAAAAAAATGTTCATAAGGAGTCAGATGTGCTAGTGCATTCATTTCCAGAATCTGGACTAAGTAATTGTTTCACGGTAAGAAAATTAATAGTTCTAATTTTATGGAAAATTAAAAGAAAATCAAAATCATTAATATATATCAACTATGTATCTGCATGTATTGTTAAAGAACAAAGTAGTAAAGTTCTCATTAAAAAACTGCAACCATGTGAATGACAAACCATGTACATGTAGCATGAATAAGTTCACCAAATTTAAAACAAATGACAAAGTTCAAATTCCGGTCATTTGAGGAAAATATAAAAAAGAAAATGAATCCTGATAAAACGTACAACAGCAACATATTTATTTATGCCTTTTATAATGTAAAAAATTCTAGTCTTAAAAACGAAATCTTGCTAAATGAACAAACCACCAATCCTTTGTAGTACAATACCCTATGACTGACATTGGTAGAACAATTACTTCTCTCTCTGACTCTTCTTTGAATGGGGCATAACACTAACAGTTTTGGTTAATTTTTTAATGCATTATTGACACAGTTCGTCAGTTGCCTAGTTTTTACTTTTATGTAAAGACTGCTGTACTTATATTCTGGTTATTGCTTGTGTGATAATGTTCTGTGTTCTAGTTTATGTGATTAATATTTTTGTTTCTATTTCAGCTTTATTCAATACCTGAGTGTACCTTTCCAGTTACTATTTACAATGATTGATGTGTTGCCTAAATTTTATATTGTTACATTTTTTCGTCACTGGTCAGATAGAATTAGACATATCGCCAGAGAAGAAAAAAATGTTTGTAACATTCAAGACAGAATTAATGAAAAGGATCAAGAACTAAGACAACTTAATGCATGTAGTACAGATGAACATTTTTATGAAATGTTTCATACTGAAGCTTCACTTTATAGCTTTTCGAAAATATATTCAACCAGGAGACATATTACCTACAATTCAGTTTTAGGATGACACTGGACATTCTTAGATGATATTACTCAATGAATAATCCAATAGCACAAGTTATTGTTACCTTATTCATCTGTTCTTATGATAGATACTTCATTGTCAAAAAAGTGCATTAGAATTTGTTTATGATCAATGCTTCAGAAAAACAGTGTTTGTTTGTTTTCGTTAGAAAATTTGAGACCAAGAATCTTTGAAATGATTGAAGACTTGAAATAGAAATCCATGGATATTCTTTTCTTTATGGAGTAAAAGGGTATATCAAGTATATGTTGTATGATGGCCAATGAGACAACTATTCACAAGAGACCAAATGACACAGAAATCAAAAGCTATAGGTCACTGTACGGTCTTCAACAATGCGCAAAACCCATACCTCTTAGTCCTGCTTAAAGTATATCGTCTTTGAAATTTTTTATTGATATTGGTTGGGCATGAAAATAAGAAGGTTATATGAATGTAGCTGAGTTGTGATTGTTAAGTTGCTCAAGATGTGTAGTTGCTAAATATACATTGAAGTATAATATAAATATATATACATAGTCTCAAAATGAAAAAAAAAAAATTTGTACATGGCATATACACAGGTATAATTTGAATTCTGGCCTGCCATTTCTATCATGTTAGAGCTGAGTGACAACAACATTATGTTTTGTTCTCCATATACTGCAAAGGTTAAAACTTCAAAAGAAATTTTTGGTCAGAAATCAACAATTTTGAATTCGAATCTGACAACATTAAACTATCTGCAAACCTGCATTGTCTCACAACATCAAACATAAAACTTTACAGAAGCACATCAACATCACAAATAGTATAAAAAGAAAGAGATGTTACGTCATTGCCATTGTAACAACTACCCAAGCCACTAGAGTTCTAATATAGTAAATGTAAGCTATTATACTTGGCCAGCATATAGCCTTCAACAATGAGAATAACCCATACTGTATAATCGACTATAAAAGGCCCAAAACTAGAAAATGTGATACCATTCCAACAAGACAGACATTAACCAACGACAACCACAACTAACGGCACGTGACTTGAGACAGACACATAAAGAATGTGGCGGAGTTAAACAGTTGTGTGTGCTCAACCCTCCTCTAACCTATGACTAATGCAACACAGCATACAACAAAGCAAAAATCAGTTGCTATATAAATTTCACTTGCATTTTGATACTTATTTTCAGTATGTGAATGAAATTCCTGAGCAGTGTAAATTTTGCTGGATCAGTGGACTAAAGAAAAGAACAAAAATTTGCTCCCGCAAATTTGCAGATTTAACATTGCTATGCTGATATTTAGAGTAATTATAAATAAAATATGTGTTTTCAGCCGTGTATCACCTTCACTGGTGATCTAATGGATAAATATGTCGTATAGTTGTCACTTGTTAAGACGTATTTATATAATAATTAATTCTGTGACTGAATCTTACGATCCTTTACGACAGATAATTTAGCTTATCTGCAGTCAATTTTATCTTCATGCCTTATATATTATGTACTGTGGTACAACTCTAGATTCTACTGACGGGGAAAGGTAACAGTAGGCAACCGAAAGCTGAATTTTTAGTTCAGTCTAGGTGGCCAAGTGGTCTAGAGCGCTTGACACAGTGCAGGCGGTGTTGTCACGATATCCAAATAGCATGAGTTCAAATCCCGGCGAGGGAAAAACAAAATTTTGCTTCCTCAAATTTGCAGATTTAGCATTGTTGTGCTGATATTTAGAGTAATTATGTATATATATTTATATATATAAACGCCTAAAAAGTCTACAAAACAACACCAATATTAAAATAAAAAGGAAACATGAAATGTAATTATCTATAAATATTTCGGATAACAGATATCCTTCATCAGTATCATAATAATGTAAATTAAATCATATCTATTCATTCTGATTTAAATATAACAATTTTGAAATTTATACAATTAAAACCGAAAACAACAACGTTTGTTCAATTCTAAAATTTAAAAAAATGACGTAGGTTAAGTATTTACAACAGAGAATGCATAGATATGCTTCTAACAAAATAGTAATGTGCGATATGAACTGGTACATTTCTAAAATTTCACAGGGGACGAAAGTTAACATATTACAACAAAGACTTCGTAGAAATACATTCCCAATGAACAGCAATGACCGATTTCAGCTGGTGTAATACTCGAATTAAAAATTTGACGACGGTAAAGTAATTACAATAGAGGATGCGTATTTACATATCCGCAAATAAATAGTTTTGATAATGATTAAAAATTTTAATTTTGACAAAGGTCAAGTAATTGAAAGTGGCTGCGTTCTTATACATCTCAAATGAATAGCACCCTGCAATTTAAACTGATATAATTTTAGAGTTGACAAAGGTAACGAAATAGTAACAGGGACTGCGTAGTAATATGTAATATTACCCAAATTAAGAGCACTTTGCACGAATTGGAACTAACTTTTCATTGATCCCATTTGGTGCCAACGTTTTTGATTTTCTTATCCAAAATTTTTCCCGAGTGAGTCATTCCTTTCTAGAACAAGCAGTGTTGGGATCAATGATTGTAATGGTCAGTCGATTGAGATTAAATTTTTATTTACCTGGAACCACTTGTCATCTTTATGCGTAGCTACGAAGATTATTCGCGGAAAACCACCATCTGTCCTCTTGCAGTATGTCAAAATTGAATTAACCCAGTGCAGCAGATAAACTGGAAAAATTATAATGATATATTAGAGGCAACAGTAGTTTACGGATGTACAAATCTCATTAATCCAGTCACAACATGAACTATGAAAGAAGCGCGACCGGGTGCGTCGACAGGTTAATATAACATGAAATAAGTTCACATTTTAACGATAAAAATATGTTGTTTTTATTACACCTCAGTATGTTTTTTCTATATAAAAAAGAATGAAATAGTTGTGCTATTTCATTTCACAGACTTTACCAGTCAATAGTTTTAAAGGCTATTACCCCGGTCAATAGTTTTATAAACATATTTCTCGTACCTTTTGATACTAATTTTCATTGGATAACAATTCCGTCAATGGCTATTCTGCTTGGATGTGTGCGCTTGGCAACGTTAAACTCTGTATGAGTTTGTCGACGTTATTTCAAATTAGTATATTACTTACCAGAAGCAATTAAAAAAGAAAACGAAAATCTACGTGACATATTCTAAGAACTAAAACATAACAAATATGGGTGTGTCGTCGTCTTCATAATCTGGGATTGAGTACGGCGGTAATATATGATAGCTAGCGTTTATTATTATATGCACGGGAATTTATGCACAAGGATTCCTGGTCTTGATTACGGTAAATGAAATATTGACAAATACCACACGAACAAAAAAAAAAACCTGATAGTTCACATTGTGCATGTTTATTTGACTATTTATTTTTTTTCAAGTGGTATATGTAGCTTTTTAGAATGTTGTTATGTTCGGTAAAATAAAACACTTAATGACTGGTTATGAGTGTAATAGCAAGTTTGTTGTCCCTTTGAAACTAACTATTGCTCGAGTCACCCTTGGCAGTTTGTTTTTGACCACTTTACGATTGTAACGATCTATATGATCGATAACGATTGAACATCATTTGTCGAATCAATCAACTCAATTTGTGTATGATGAAGACTCAATCGTAACTATCGATACGATCGGTAAAGACTGAATAACATTTGTCAAATAAATCAACTCAAATGAATTACTCGTTAGTAGAATCAATCAACTCAATTTGTTCGTGATGAAGACTCAATTGTAACGATAGATACGATCGATAACGATTGAACATTATATGTCAAATCAATCAACCTAATTTGTTTAAGACGAAGTCTCAATTGTAACTTGTGTATTTGTGTTAAAAGTTAGGTTAAGTTAGAGTTAGATTTAGGGTAAGGCTGTATCAAATATGCCATCTAGCACCAAAGACTATGTCAATGTGCCTTCTAGCATCATAGGCTGTGTCAGTGTGCCATCTAGCACCGTATGCTGTGTCAATGTGCCTTCTAGCGCCGTATGCTGTGTCAATGTGCCTTCTTGTGCCATATACTATGTTATTTTGCGACATATATATATATAGTGCGGTAGTCTGTGTCCATGAGTTAGAGTTATGGTAGGGTTAGAATTAAAGTTAGGGTGAGGATTAGGTTGTATCAAATATGACATCTAGCGCCGTTGGTTGTGTCCTTGGTTTCATGTTGTGCAGTTTTCTTACACAAAACAGAATTGTCTCAGTTGATCAATCGTATACCATCGTTTATAATATGAAGATACAGTTGATTATATTGATCTACCGTGGTAAAATCGTATCATTGAATACTTGCCAATTACAGATCCATTAATGTACAAACAAAAAACTAGATAGTAAGATAATTTTTGGGTTCCAATCAACTGTATATTTAAATGTTTTTAGGTTTTATTCTGTATATTTGAAATAGTTCTTGTCTTTTATTAATACAAATAAGGAGATATAATATGATTGCAATGTGAGACAACTATCCAACAAGAAGCAATACTGTAAACAGCTAGTGTAAGTTTTGTACACATACATTGGTGTTCCACAAGAATACTTTTAAGATATAGTTGATAAGATCGTGCTCCATTCATAATATTGATATATAGTTAACTGACTTGATTAAATTTGTTTGTTTTTGTATTTTTACTTAAACCGGTTGTTTTGTCATTTATTGGAGATAAACAAAAAGCAGGATATATGGCATACGTTCCATTACATACAAACTGAAACAAAATATAACAATCGAAAAAAAAAGTTAAAATTTTGTTCAATTGAGCTTTATTACATCAGAAGTTACGGTACCAATTTTACTGTACTAGATTTGCAATTTGACTATTAATGTCCTTCCTTAATACTTGAGGTAAACATAGGTAAATATCCAAAACCTTATACAAACGTGGATGAGCTGATAAAGTTTTGATCAAAATAGTAAAAGAGGTACATGTGTTGAAATCGAAAACAAATTAAAAAACAAGCAACAAACAATCCACTAAGTCATCATGAAAAACAAAAATTGAACAAAACGAACCCACCCATAATCGGTTGAGAAATTAATCTATCAATGACAGACACTGAAAAATGAAAACAAACAGTGAACTATGTCGATGGAAACAACACTAACATTGATCAAATAATTTCCAACTTTGATTGAAAACATCAAATATCGTATCAATAAATTTATCATAAAGCTTATAAAATAAATGACTTTTTCAAACTCCACAGGAAAAATATGGCAAATGTTTTCTAATAAGCAAAATAGCAGGATCAAGTGTTACTTGTTGTGTATGGGGGTAAAAGCTATGCTTTCGTAAAGCGGACGTATTAATAGTCAATCAAAGGTTACATATAGAAAGTATTTTGTGCGATTACTGTACCTGCAACTGTTGGTTTTCCAAAATGTCCTGGAAGAAAGCTTAGGTCTGGCATATGTTTGTTAAGATCAACAGACCCATTAAACATCAACACAAATATTCCTCTGCTTGTGATGAACAACTGGTGGGTCATATAATAATCCTTCTGGCCCCCAAAGTCCCAGATGTCTATTGGTACAACCATCTGTCTGTATTTACCTTCCTCAACTGCTTTCACAATTAGCTCATGTATTTTGTCTGCAGACATATCGCTTGTTATTTGGTTCCTCCATTCACTCGCTGAATCATCAGATACAACCAGGACACGTTGTTTTTTCTCTTTAGTTATTTTAATCTCCGACGCATCTTTATGTTTTTGATTACTTAATGTTTCAAAATCACATTCTGAAGAAGTATTATCATCGATGTGATCTGCCGATTTGGAATTGCCGGATAATTTGAAAGTTTCTGTCTCTTCTTTAAAACTAACTGTTGAACGTTTAACTGTTGTTATATTTTCATTTAGAGGGACATCATCAAGTCTATCTTCGGTGGAATTTCCTTTTTCATTTGTTGACATAGACATCAGCATGTTTGTCAGTACCTCTGTAATTGCGTTACCTTTAAAACAATATATCATGCAATTTATTGAAAGAGAATAATTTTACAGGCTTATACGAAATCTTCAAAAGTTAAGTATTGTTCAATATGTAAAAGTTATGTGCACGATATATGACATGTCAATAACAGAAGATGTTGGCCAATGTGAATGATAGCATCTCGTCAACACAAAAATGACAATAAACATCTATAGAGCAACTTACGGTCTTCATAAATACATAAATGTATATACCGTGTAGACATTAAACCAAGTTCTAACCGGTAATATAGATCAAAGAGCAGAAATATATAAGTACTTCCATTGTAACTTTAGAGGCATGTTCCAGGGACCCAGATCACGCTAAAGATAAAAATAGGAATGTGCCAAAGTGAACACCAACACAAATATGATAGTGAAATTGATTAGTAACATTGAAATGTTTGTCAAACACACAAACCTTTTGGGAAAAATACCCATTCCATCTTGTCAATGTTCATTCCAGCTTTTCCCCTGTATATCCATATACCATCAGTAGACTGCCTTATTATTGGGACTGGTTCACCAACAAGAATTTTTGCTAAACAGCTTTTCCCGACAGAATATGGACCAACCAAATAAACCCGATTCCAAAAACACCTCTGGTAATTTTCGTGCAAGATCTCTTGTAAATCAATAACATTTTCAAGACCAAGTGCTCTCAGCTGTTCTTCGACTTCTTGTTTTTGCAACCTTTTCGCTGAATCGACAAAAAATATAGGTAATGTACTGGTAATTGGTAACTAAAGTAATAAAACAATAATTTAAGACTGAACAATTAATCCAAGGTACTTTTCTTATTCAGTACGCCAGACGAAAAAAGATAAAATAGGACGCATCTGAAGCCCTTTAGTCAAATCCGCTTTAATAGCCAAGTGAATTTTGAAGTTGCAGTTGAAGAATGAAACATATAAAATCCTTAAGGTTTGATCAAATTTAGCTTTCATGTATGGTTGATAATACCTTCGGTAGAAGCGTCGACCGACTAGCTCGTCTGTATACATTTTACGTGTGTTTTCATCTCCAGCACACTGAGTAACTATCTGCCTTTTTTGTGATTAGTTATGAATATTATTTTGGCATTGGATTAATCACATTAATGACAAAAGTAGTTTACAATTATCTCATCAAACAATTCAGAATATACAAATCATGAAAAGAAACAAAATAAACGAGGAACCCAAATTAACTCCAAAGGGACCGAATAAATGTGTCCTCGAATATCTAGACGACCCGGCTATAATCAATTGTTCATTTAGAATAAAAGGAAATTTTCGTCGTTCTTTTTCATTTTAATACGAAGAGAGAAAACTATATTCTATAGAATCTTATTTTTCTTGGGTTTTTGATAAAGGCACATACTTTACCGTTTATATATGTACAGTAACCATAACAGGTTTTTGGAATAAAAATATCTTTCGATATAAGTATGATGGCATTTTTTTTTTGCAACTCAGGGTAGATTTACTAGAATAATCATGACAATTGAAAGAATTTATAATGTACAGTTACGAAAATTATGGTCGGCTTTAATTCAGGATGCCCATATGACTGTTTACTTTTATTCAAAATATCTAAGGATTGATTGTATAACAAATATGATTTGATTGAGTAATGCAAATGACAGCCATATTGGTACGCAATAACTACAAAATCTTGTCTGAATAAAATAATAGCGCCAACATTTCCTCTTTTGATTCAAAATACTGAGCTTTCATTGAAAATCTGTAGTTTTCATATCTCTAGCATAAGAACAAACTATAAAAATCAGTTAAAAAGGGATTAACACATCAGATTGTTACAAAGTTTTGTTCACATCAATTAAGAATGCTAAAATTTCATCTTTTTTCATACCAAATACTGAATCATCATTAAAAACTAGTACTTTTCATATCTCTGGAGATTTTGTCACTAAAATTGGAAAAAATCGACCTATTTACAAACTTGACATACGGATTAAATTTTCAAGTAGTTTTAGAGAAAAATGTTTTATAAATGTTACTCCATTATTGTTGTCTGTTTATATTTTGATATTGCTATTTAGTCATACCACTTTTTTTGGTGTGAAATCGCAATCATGATAATCCTATATTTGCTTAAGAACGTTCAAAATGTCGAACGTAATCTTCCATAAGGAGAAAAAAAAACATTAAAATAAATCACCTCCAAGATGAAAACATCAAGATGAAAAATAAATCAAGAAATAATATATATTTCGTAATTAAAGAAGCTCACAGAAAGTACACAACGACAACCGAATTTTATCTGCTTCAAGTTAGAACAGAATGAATTGTATGATATAAAGGACAACAGAATTGGAACACATTTACTACCCAATTTTGTTCTCAAAAAATGATTATATACCAGATGAATCACTATATGGGTCATTATAAAAAAAACATGCAAAACTGTGTTATTTTGGTTTTTTTAAGTCACAGACATGAAAATATATCAAAATAACACTTGCATATGTTAGATATGAATGTTTTGTGATACACTTTATACAGTTTACAGTATAAAATGTTATAAACACATCCTTAATGTTTTCTTAAACCCTTGGATATAGCCAGAATTTACTGTTAATTTTTTTTACTAAAATACCTTTCAGACCTGAAATAGGACTATTATTCATATCATTTGTTCTTATGATTTATCACTATTTATTGCATTTTGATACATACGAACATTTTTTAATGATTTGGGAGGTGTATGTTTGTTTTATAATAAAAATTTTCAACAAAAAGAAGAGTCTCATTCTTTTAAGTCACTGGTGTAACCAAAAGACAAATTGGTTGGGTAAGAGTTATCTTTCTCAAGATTTTAGCATTTGCAATAGTTTCTCCCCTACCAATGTTAACTGTAAGCATGTTATGAAAAAGGAAAAATAAAGAAATGTTGAAAATTTAGTGAAAAAATCTTTAAAGTAAGTAAAAGCTATATCGTAAAAGAAAATAGTGTCCATGATGTACCCTTATAAAAATCATTTTCCGAAAGATTTCCTGAACTTTGATTTATGAAAAGATATTGATTGTAGAAACATGCACCAGGAACAACCTATAAAATAGGGGAATGTAACACTTATTTTGTAACTAAATCTAAAAATACACCTGGAAATCATTGGTGTTACTGTCAATGGTTAGACCACTTTAATAAAATAACACAACTTACCAGTTTAGTAACACCACTGAATATATTATGACAATCAGCATTTTTTTGTGTTTCTTTCATGTTTAACAAGCGAAAAAGCATATCATTTATGAAATATAGCACTTATTTATGAATGTTTTAACAATATAATGTATTACATCTACAAAGTTTTCACAAACTGGTGTATGCTGGTAACACCAATGACACTATTTAGTAACACTATTGACATTTTTAGTTATTGATGTTATGTTATATAATTTAAGATTTTTTAGCCTAAGAATTATTTTTTTTTCTTTTTCTTTTGCTCAATTTTCTTTGTTTTGTGTTCAGTACTTAATAAAAGTAAAATTTGAAATGTGTTGTCAATGGTGATACTTTTGTGTAATTTTAGTTACGGAAGGGTCAGTGGTGTTACTATATAAAAATTAATTAACTTTTATTTCTTATTAACAAATGAAAGTGTTTTTCGGACGTATACGAAGGATAAAGTATTATCTAACCATTCAGTCTTAAACATTTTACATTTATTCAGTTTAAGTGTATTTTTAAGCCATAATTAGGACAGCAAACTTTTTTACAACAATTTACTATGAAATTTATATTTAAATAGAATGCATACCTATGAAAACAATGTCAATAAGTAGTAATTTTAACCTTAACAACAAATTGGAACAGTTGTTTGATATCTAACAATATTTTTCTAGTAACTAAATGCATGTTTTATATTGGTAACACCATTGTCATGGTTCTATCAGAGGATGACTTAAATTTGTTAAATTTGAAGGAACTCTTCATTTTTCCCATTGCATATATCTGAATATAGTTGCTACCATATTATTTTTCCAAATTTTCCCTCATCGAAATTTGAATGTTTTTTTGATAATGACCCATATATTAAAACATGATAATTTAAAGATTATGTTATTCCTTTACTTGCTTACTTTGTAATTTGTTGATCATCCATCAAAGACATACGTAACATACATACTTGAAAAAGGTTTACCATACTATTCTTACCTTCCGCTTGCTCTTCCTACAAAGCAATATGGTATACAATATTATATGATAATCTCGTCTACATTTCATGCTGTAACTCATCGTAGAGTGTGTTCACGGAGTCTAAATGAGCACATAAACATTGGAAAAAATGTTTTTTTTTATTTTATTTAATAAAGTGTACATAATACATTGTTCCTTATAGTTACACAATCAACATATCTAAGCAACATAAATCGAACTTTTTCTACTAGACCCAGAACATCGTATAACTTCTCCAACGTTAACCTTGGTTAAGGCAGGAGGATTGAACTGGACTGAGGGTAGCGTCACTATGACTTTCTGTTATTTTCCCTAAAGTTATCTAAATTACCGAGGAATTCTAAAAATTGAATTTTTTATACAGATATGAAACCACACTGCTTGTCATATTCTGTTGTTGGCTTAATATTTTAATGACTTCGTTTCTCCATTTTGTTTAGAATACCCTTGAAAATTGTTTGTTAACTATATTTGTTCTAGTTACCTTAGATTTATGAATAACATCAAATCGGGATGTTGAAACGATAGTTGCGTGCTTCACAGTGGAGGGTCAATCTTCGATACCGTATTATTGCTAAATAATCTCCTATACTTAAGGTCCCTTTTTCGGTAATATCAGCTTTTTATTTTTATTCTAAAAACATTTTAAATGGCTAATGCTATTTAGCATGAATGTGCATTCTGATAAGTCGGTGTGTTGCCAATCATCATGACATTCAAATGGCATTGAACTTTGACCTCAAGATCAAACTAATTGATTTATTTACATTTTTGTCACATGGGCTTTTGATATTTGACACATATTGCAGCACCTCAACTTGATATGTCACATATTTTGAACGCTGATATTTACTATGGAATTTCAAGGCCAAATAAAAGTTCTCAATTACAACATGTTTGAATACACCATGTATGTGTTAGCTGGGGATCATGTCCTTTGTAGACACTGGTCAGATCCTAACCCCTAAACCAAATATATGTATATGTGTCATGACAAGACCATTAGAGTGCACCACGTATTTGTCCCTTATATCATAAAGTATTAAATATTTTGATAACAGTTCAGATCACCATGCCTTGTAATACAAGTGAGAGGTTTAGCTAGCTATAAAACCACGTTTGATCCACCATTTTCTACATAATGACATGCCTGTATCAAGTTAGGAATATGACAGTTGTTTTTCATTTATTCAATGTTTTTGAGCTTTTGATTTTGTCATTTAATAAGGGAGTTTCCGTTTTAAATTTTCTTTGGAATTCGGTATTTTTGTTATTATTCTTTTGACCATACAAGGACCAAACGCAGAAATTTTATGTTGATAGTCCCTAACTTAACTTTTTAGTGTAAGTAACACATATATTTTCAATAATGCATGAAAATGAGTTGTAGGTCAGAAAAACCCAGCCAGACAGATATGTAAACCTATCAATAATTCCATACACCAAATATAGTTGACCTACTGCTTATAGTATACAAGAATAAAAACATGAATACTTAACACTGACCAACATGACCAATGCACCATGAAAAAGAGGTCAAGACAGACATGTTCACCTTACATGAATTCCATACGCCAAATATAGGTGACCTATTGGTCTGAGACGACTCTCTGCCAGAGACCACATGACATAGAAGTGACAACTATAGGTCACCGTATGGCAATTAACAATGAGCAAAACCTATACCGCACAGTAAGCTATAAAAGGCCCCGAAAGGAAAAATGTACAACAACTCAAACTAGAAAACTAACGGCCTGATTTATGTACAAAACAATATACAAAAACAAATATGACACATACAGAATATTGCAGGGTTGAACATGTTTGAAGTCGCAAACCCTCTCCTTATCAGGGACAATCGTGCAACGGAATAACACAAGAACAAGAACATGGTGTTAAACATGTTTGCTGGGGTCAAACCCTCCACGTAACCTGGGACAGTGGTAAAACAGTACAACAGAAGAACAAACTATGAAAACCAGACCAAAATGAAGTATTATGTAACATTGTTTTTTTTTTCAGTGCTTGGTCCTTAGATTAAGCATGAACTGTACATTTCAGTCTGACAGTTGAAATCTCAGTTTGACAACATTTTGACAGTTTAATAAATCCTAAAATTAAGAATGGAAACGGGGAATGTGTCAAAGAATCAACAAGACGACCAAAGAACAGAAAACAACCCAAAGCCAGCAATGGGTCTTCAATACAACGTTAGAATCCCACTACCGGAGGAGGGCTGCAACTGGCCCCCTAAAAAATAATGTGTACTAGTTCAGCGAAAAATGACGTCACACTAAACTCCGCAACATATAAATGAACCAAAAATGAAAAAACGTACAACACTAATAAAGGCCTGAGGTTCCTGACTTGGGACATTTGCTAACATGAAGCAGGGCTAACATGTTTTGGAGATCTCAACCCTACCCTGATACCTCTAGCCAATGTGGAATAAACCAACACACAACAATACGCACAGTAAAACTCAGTTTAAAAGAAGTCCGAGTTCGATTTAAGAATAGGCAACAGAAGAAACTAAGAAAATGACATTGATCAACGTAAATAATCAAAGGACTACTGACATTCCAGCTCAATTCTCAATTAAACAAATTGAAAGATTATGTCTTCATCATATGAACATCCAGCACAATCCCTCCCGTTAGGAGTTTAGTTTTACCATCATGAAATATACGAGAAATACACAACCCATATCATGCCAACAACTGGTTTTAAAATAAATGTGTATTTTTCCGATGAAAAGACCCTATAAGTGAATCAATATCAATTAAAGAATAAATCCATCTTCAGTGACATGACAACAGTACCGTAACTATGTCCTTTCTTGATAAGTCTGTTTGGCTAACTTTTGAGATGAATGACGCCATGTGTGTTCCTTGTATAAAATATTACCATAAAAGATGGTACGTGAAATACCTGAACGTATTAGATGTCTGCACGTTGATTAATATTTACGAATGACGTTCTTGTACTGATGATATATTTTAGTAATTTTTTGACAAGTTTGTGATATCGAAAACCCTGGGACAATATTTTTTCAGTAATACAGACTTTTTTTCAGTTAAAATCAAATACTTTGCTACAAACACGATCGAGCCGAACATGTTGGGACATATAAACACGATAAGATGGTGCCAAGGGAATGTCACATCTAAAAATGGTCTACGTTTTGTATAATTACCAGGTTTTCATCTAATGAAAGAGATCGCCCAATTATTCAAATATAGTTTCTGAAATAATTTACACTGTAGGAACATGTAGATTTTATATCCTTTTCCTTTGTTTTATTTACCTGCCTTAACAATACCCCTCGCAAACAAAGTTTGTGGCGTATTTTGGAATCACCATGTCCATCTGTCTGTCCCTCCGTCACGCTACGTTTCCGTTGCATAACTTTTGTATTGTAAAACTTAGGTGAATCAAATTTGGTATGGAGTTGCATCGCTGGCTTAAGCTTGTTTTGTGATATATACTAAACTCAAGTCATTCTGTCATTGACCTCAACCTTTTACCACTATTATAGTTATTGTTTATTCAATTCGTGTCCGGCTCATAACATTTGTACTTAAAGTTTAACAAAACTTGGTATGCAGCTACATATGCATTGGTTATGTTTCAAATATAAAATTTAGGTTACTCTGACCTTGACTTTGTCTTCTGATCCCTATCATAGTAAAAACTTATCTAATTCGTTTTCGGCTCATATTTTTATTGCAACGTATAAATTAAATTAACAAAATTTGGAATACTATTGCATCATGGGCTTTGGGTGTGTTTTATACTAAAGTCAGGTCACTCTGACATTTCACCCCTATGATAGTTGAACCTTGTCTGAGTTGTGTTCTGTGCATAACTGCTATACCATATAACATAGGTTGACCAATCTTGGTATGCTGATACATCTAGGGATTGAGTGTGTCATATAACAAAGTATGCTCACTCCTGACAAGGGGCGCGTAAACATTATACAATTAGGGATGTGTTATAATTGCCAATCAGACAACTTTCTACTAGAGCCCAAATCACTAGTATTGAACAGCCTTCAACGAGAACCATAACCCATACCGTAAATGCAACTGTAAAAATCCCCGATATGACAAAAAAAAAAAAAAAACAAAAACAAAAAGCAACGGTCTGAGTTTTGAAAAAAACAATAACTGAAAATAAAGCAAAAATGACAGACAACAACCAGCGAAAGCATTTAGATAAAGGCTTCTAACATGGGAGAGGCATATGTAGAATATAGTTAGATCTAACATATGTGTGATTCCCTAACCACCCCTCTTTACCTGGAACAGTGGTGTAACCGCACAACATACGCACAAACTGTTAATAGCAGTTTGAAATGACTTGACTTATCATATAGGCCCTAACAACTAAAGGCAACTAACATAATGACAAAAGACACAAAGAAATGTTTTACGAGTTCTCGCATTTACTTTTGGATCATCAATGCTCCTAATGGTCTTCAATTACGTTTTATTATTCGAGCATCATTGATTAGTCTTTTGTAAACGAAACGCGAGTCAGGTGCACACAATGTTAAACCTGGTATCTCTGATAAGTTATTTTTATAGTTTGTCGCTAATGGTTTCTTTATAAAAAGTATGTTGTTTTCCTAGGGGACTATTTGTAAGTTCCCAAATAACCCATTTGAAACCCTTGTTAACTTGTCTAAAATAAACTTCAGATTTTGTGATGACTTTTTATTCAATTAAAGCCTACATGTTATTTGATATTAAGAGTTGCAAAAGTGTTTGGATTCTTTGGTACCACAACAATTCATTTCCTATGATAGATAGGATTTTCAAGAATACAATTCATTTCCTATCATAGATAGGATTTTCAGTACTACAATTACATATCAACCAATTATACAAATTCGTTTATTTTATGTATAGATTAAAATGTTTTTAACAAAAGACCATCGGAGGAATAGAACTATACATTTGCTATGATGGTTCAATGTTATGATTAAATTAGTTGAATTTCATCCATCTTCGTAAAATTTGAAAACAAACGTTTTTGGATGAGAAAGATTTGTTATAACAGTACAAAATGTATTAAAACATTTATATTTCAGTCATTATATATAATGGAATTTGACATAACTTAATCCCTTAGCAAAGTAAAACATAACTGCGGAATGGAAACCAGACCATCCGAGAACAATATCATTATATATTTTTCCAACCGTTCCAGCATTTGAAGAAAAAAGACAAATCAGCTTATTCCGTATTTTGATGGCGTATAATGTATATTTTTTTCTTGATGAGACAATTATAGGTTAAAATTTCTAATTCAAAACTGTTCGCTCAGATATATATCTCGCATGTCTGTTATTTTGATAGTGAAATACAATGTTGAAATGAAAATGACAATAAATTAACATGTTTAACATGGAAACCATGCAAATATTAGCATTAGCATGCAATGAACCATGACCGAAGTGCTTGGCCAAATTATATTCCCCGGAATAAGCCAGTAGCCCAAGACTGAGGAGACATTCATGTAGCCACAAATATCCATGGAAATAAGATATGCCAATGATGAAACAACTGCACAACAATTGTTATTGACTCATCGAACCTTAAACCTTTACATGCAATTCTGGAAAGTTTCAAAGTCAATAACCAGACTCAAGGGCAAATAATAATACAACTACATCCCACATATCATTGACTTACCATTAGTTGTTAATCTTACACTGACTTACTTTAAACTATGCTAAAGTTTCAAAATCAATGAACCATGACTATGGGGACGGAGTCATAAAATCTCCATACATATGATATAGCGTATTTACCTGACGATATTAGGATATAGGAAGTTGTGATAATATTACAAAACCGACACGGATAAAAAAATAAACAATGTCAAGCTTTAATTAAATCTTTATTTGGATAAGTTGATGCAAGTATACGATCTCTATTGTGTCGTGTCCTGTAAGAGGCTTATAACGTTTAACAACCGTATTGTATTAATGTGTAAACACGTTAATTATTAACTATGAAAGTCAAGAAGTTCGTGCATTTTCCCCGAGTAGGTTTAACAAGATTTCAAACAAATATACTTTACTGTGGGTTAGCATTCATAAGCTGTCACTATCCTATAGATTAACAATTGTTGGTTATATTGATTATTTTAATTTGTCATTGAAGATGGAGCACGAAAGTTGTGTTAATTAATTCGTTTAATGTGTCATTTGTATGCAAGAGTGACATCCCTTTGTACTATGTTAAATTCCAAAAATCTATCGATTTAATGCGTGTATTGTCTCCCTTGAACATGTTTACAGTTTCATCTTCAAATTTAATTGATTTGAATTTAAATCATTACAAAATTCATAAATTTAACAGATCTAAGTATTTTTCAGTGGTTAATTAAAGACATTTATGTATACCGATAATTTTATTTAATTGTTTTGAAACGTTTAAAATTATTATATACTAATATAAAGAACACTTCATAATTATATAAATATTATTTAGTTACATAGTAGGTTACTTTTTTTTGCCGACCGTGCAAGACCCTCATGGGTAGGCAAGGACGTTAATTACCCCCCCCCCCCCCCCCCCCCCCCACCACCCCCCATAGTCGTAAGTTACTTTTAAAACCGACCATGCAGGACCCCCATGGGTAGACAGGTTAATTAAAAACAGAATTTTACAGTTGTAGTTCTATATTTGAAAAAAAAAACTTGTGGATAAAAGAAACTGTGTATCCGAGTTAACAGTTCGATACTAATCGACTTCATACAAATTTTGGAATCTGGTAGTAATATAAATGAAAAAAAACAAACATAGAATTGAAACTTTCATATGAAATGTTCATATTAGATAGAAATGACAAAAAAATCAAACCTAAAGAATTGAAACTCAAATATATTCAAGACATGATTAATAAAGATATATTTCCAAAATATAAAAACAAATTGCAAGAAATTTTTCGGCACGAATCTAAATGTTAAATAGTATGGGACAATCTGAAAAAAAAAACTAATATCGGCAATGAAATAAACGAATTCCAATGGAAATGCATTCACATTATTATATATACGGAAAGTAGGCTTAAAAAATTAGATTGTCAAACTGAAAATGTCATTTTTGTCAAACGGTTTATACTACTGAAAATTTGCAACATTCATTTTTCGATTGCACTACAACCACATTAATCATTAGTAAAATCAAAGATATTTTCATATTATCGAAATTTCAATTAAATTATGAAAATTTAGAACATTTTATGCTTTTGAGAGATAACAGTGGTCAATCGAACCAACATTTACTTGTATGTATATCTCTTTTTTATTTTGACAAAATGGTCCTTGTGGAAACTAAGAAACAAAATAAAAAATGATGGGATAAAAATGTCATCTACAGTTATTTTGAATCTTTGGAAATCATATATGATACCCAATCTGAAATCTGAACCCGTCTATTTATCTAATAAAACAATAGGCAAAAAAAAAAATATACACATTAATTAATAATATATAATAATAACTAACCTTATAGGAGAAAACAGTCACGATGTTATGTGGTCTGCCTTTTATGTCTCTTTTAATTTGTATTAGGTAATCTATTGTTTACAGGTGCACTCGATTATGTTATAATGTTATCTTATTTATTATCACATTCTAGAAAGATGTTCATTTTCATTAATTGTCAAATAAAAGAATATTTATTATTATAATACTATTTTTTCTGGTAATAAAGTGAAATCTTTTTTAGCCTCCTGCTTCCCGAGAAGTGGGTTTTATTGTAAACGGGGATCCGTAGTCTGCATCCTGGGCAACCGAGGAAATTGTAAACAGGACATTTTTTGAATAAACAAGTATCGATTTAAAAAAAGGTCATTGAAAACCCCTCTCGGCGGTAAGATACTTAGTTTAATGAGGCAAACTACTGCAAAATACAGATAGTGCATCTGCTTCAAATTAATACTGATCCTGGAATTGTTTATTTTTAAAGCCGTATTATGGTTATACAATATATAAAAAGCAATCTGTCTTCTTTTAATTTGAAGTAAAATATCAAGGTGAATGACAAATAAATGTCTGAAGTGTAACAACCCCTAACACAAACACACAAAAGATATACATACGCACAAACACAAAATCAGAACACCATAAACACAACTTTATTCCAGAAACTTAAAACTTATGTCAAGTGCTTTATTGAGAAATTATGATTGTAACCTAAATAAAACATTTTAACTTTTTGGAAAAAAACAATAAATGAAAACCGAATTATATTATCTTCCCATAATGACAACATGTTGGGAAAATTAACCAGAGTTATCTTACATTAATCACAGAAAGGGCTAGCACATAATTTCTAATTAGAGCTTAATTAACATAAAAAAAAATTCCATTATAAATGAATGTTACTTTAATCAAATATAAGGATTTAGTTAGCCAAATCTACTAATTTTATTTGATATTATGAATTTTCATGACAATAGATAAACATGCCATATGATACGAGCTGGTTATCCTACTCACTTACATATAGCGAGGTATAATCTATATCATTACAAATTTCCAACACCAAATTATGAAAGAAAATTTAAATCAATACAATTCATACGTAACACCTATTGTTGGTATAGGTTATACTAAAACATTTATGTCATTTTATGAAATACCAACCTGGTTTTCAAATACCCTTTTAAGTTTGGATCCGCTTTTAATTAATTGACGAACTGTGATTGTATATCCATCTTTAGCGGCATAATCAAGTGGTGTACTTCCCTGGAAGAAAATACTATTTCAATAATAGTCCTAAATATAATATTTTGAACGTTAGCGACTTCATGAGCAGTGTATTTACATTATGCTACCCTTCGCTACCATTATCTTACTTTGAAGCTAAATCAGTTATTCTGGTTCCTTACGGAAAAGGCACACATACTTCTTCTATATAATTCAATAAACTTTTATTTGATATTTCACTGAAGGTCTTAGTTAGGTTTTTATGAATACAAGTTTTCCTCATTCCATAGTTTCCTTTCCAAGTATTCTAGTTTCAAATTAATGTCAGTTATTAGATTATATATATATAGGTGTCTGAATCAAATATAAACCTTTACCCCATTTAACTAATTTCATTATGGTTTATGAAATGCATGCATGAAGTGATCTCCTTAACCGTAGAAATATCTTAAAGTAGATCTACTGTCAAATATAGAAATATAATCTGGATGTTTTGTTTTGTTTTTATCTCTATCTCATTTCGAATATTAAATGATTGTTCTATTCTCAAATATGATCTTGTGTCGAATTCAATACAGTTTAAATCTGAAAAATCCAAAAAAACTAGTTTTACTGTACAATGCATATGTTACACATAAAAAAAAATATTAACTTCAATTATAGGTCATTGTCTTATGCTGAGTATAATATTGGCATGACAACAGACTATAAATGGTTGAGTCTCTAAACTGTTCAATCAATAAAAATTATAAAAGAAAATAAACATTCCATATTGTGTGTATACATTATACATGTATATGTTAATGACTGTTGTATCCTTAAACTCTCAGTAAAAATTGTAGTGTGCTAATCCAGTTCTTGAATTGACATGCACATGTTTAGTTGGTTGATGCATGGTTATGGAAGAGAATTTACCTCATAGTGAATAAGATTGCTTTTATTAATCTGATTTACAAGGTTTGGAAATTGCATCAGATACTTTACGAATTCCTACTGGAAGCAATCCTTATGATATTAAATAATGTCCTCCCACATTTCATCCTCAATTGTATGTACTGATTGGTCATTTCATGACTGTATTATGCTGTATTTTATTTAATATTTATCATTGGGCTCATGATTGGTAAATAAATAAATTCTATTTGTATAATTTAAAAAATTCGTCAAGAACATAATTAACTATAAACATGGTTATTACTTAGGTTATTTAATATCATTTGTCTAACTAACTGACTTACACTGTTATCTTCCACATTTGGGTCTAACCCCCTATTGAGTAATTCAGAAACTATGTTCAATGATCCTTTCTTAGCTGCGCAGTGAAGTGCTGTCTGTCCCTGTTTAAAAGTACGATTTGTTTGACAATGTATCAATACTTTAAAAGTTTTACTTTTAAATATGAATAAACTGTTTGTCAATATATACTTATACGCATGCACACGTATAAAAATTGCGGTTTTTATCCAACGCAATCATAGGTTTGAACGTTGTTTTCAATTTAGACTTGTTTATATTTTTTTGTTTTGGGCTTGTATTATATTTTCCTTCGGGTTTATATGATCCGTTCATCCTATTTCGACTCTTTAAAATTCAAGAGTCTATCCTAAATTGAGGTAAATTGTATGACCTTTCAAATACCGTTTCGATCCCTAACATCACTGAGGAGACATTGATTGTCGAAATCCGGATATGTTGTACAAATTTTTGCACCTCATGTTTGCGGTATACAATCTTTTTCGCAAGTTTATTGTTTTCTGTTTGATATTAAATATATTAAGATCCATTTCGTTAGATCTGGTGATCAATTTATTTGGCAATCGCCAATGGCAGTCAGCAGGGTTTAAGAACATCAGTTGTTCCACCTGTTAGTCAAATGCGTTTTGTTAAAATATACTTTTTCACTTTTTTGGTCTTTTGGAAAATATTGTTTGTGCTGTATTTAGACCCCTCTACCAAGAAATTTGTTTTACATGCATACGTATAGAAATTGCGGTTTTTATCCAACGCAATCATAGGTTTGAACGTTGTTCTCAATTTAGACTTGTATATATTTTTTCGTTTGGGCTTGTATTATATTTTACTTCGGGTTTATATGATCCGTTAATCCTATTTCGACTCTTTAAAATTCAAGAGTCTATCCTAAATTGAGGTAAATTATATGGCCTTCCAAATACCGTTTCGATCCCTTACATCACTGAGGAGACATTGATTGTCGAAATCCGGATATGTTGTACAAATTTTTGCACCTCATGTTTGCGGTATACAATCTTTTTCGCAAGTTTATTGTTTTCTGTTTGATATTAAATATATTAAGATCCATTTCGTTAGATCTGGTGATCAATTTATTTGGCAATCGCCAATGGCAGTCAGCAGGGTTTAAGAACATCAGTTGTTCCACCTGTTAGTCAAATGCGTTTTGTTAAAATATACTTTTTCACTTTTTTGGTCTTTTGAAAAATATTGTTTGTGCTGTATTTAGACCCCTCTACCAAGAAATTTGTTTTACATGCATACGTATAGAAATTGCGGTTTTTATCCAACGCAATCATAGGTTTGAACGTTGTTCTCAATTTAGACTTGTATATATATATATATATATATATAGAAGTCTATAAAAAGGACGAACCAGCAAATTTACTATGTACCGGATCGTCTAGAATAGACGATACTGTGCAGATAAGGAAAAAAATTATATAAGTCTAGAGATTTGCACAACGATACTAATATAAGATTGTATTATACGAAGATGTTGTTAATAAATCGTGTTGACAAATATTTCGGCTTAACAAATAGCCTTCTTCGGTGTCAATTATTTTAACAATACTGATAATATGTATAAAAATAGCTCAATAATACAGGTAAGTTTTGGTCTATTGATTTAATCCAAAATCCTGAACATCATAATATAAAACAAAACTCAATACTCAAATATACGTGATTGTGTATATTTACAACCCAAAATGAGTGAAAAATAAAACTTAGTATTTTTTATTGATGCCGTTTGGATGATGTACATTTAGTTCCTTTATCCAAAAGCTTTCCCGAACCTGTCGCTGGGCATCACTCCAGTGAATGTTCTGTTCAATCACTAGGATCTTCATGCGGTTAAAGTCATCAAGTGTGTGACCAGACTGTCTGAAATGCTGAGAAACTGGGAGACGTGGCTTCTTAGAGATATCCCTAAACCGAGCAAAAATGCCACCTTGGAATCATTTATTGACAATTTTAAGTCGGACATTATTAGAAATACTAGAAATAACAATAAACCTTTTGACAATCTTACCAATGAAGAACGAACTGCACTGAAAAACTTACGATCTAACGACAATATCGTCATTAAACCTGCAGACAAAGGCAGTGCAGTGGTTGTCATGGATAAATCTGCCTATATTCAAGAGGCTGAACGACAACTTGGCGATGCAAGGTTCTACCAAAAACTAGACTCTGATCCTACAACATCTTTTAGCAGAGAAATAACTGATAGTTTGGTAGAAATGCACAACGATGGTTTCATCGATGAAAAGACTCTAGAATATTTGAAACCAGAAAATCCAAAACCGGGCAGATTTTATCTTTTACCTAAAATTCATAAGGCCAATAACCCAGGAAGACCTATAGTTTCAGCGAACGGTCATCCGACGGAAAAAATATCGGAATTCGTTGACTTCCATCTTCGTCAACATGTTGAGGACTTACCATCTCACATCAAAGATACTACCGATTATCTTAGAAAATTGCAGGCCTTAAATCCACTCCCCTCCGACACGACACTTGTCTCTATGGACGTCACCTCCCTCTACACGAATATTCCACATGCAGATGGCATTGATGCATGTAAAGAAGTTTGGAATTCCCGACCAGTGAAATATCCACCTACTGAATGCCTGGTCAAAATGCTCACGCTGGTACTCAAAAACAACAACTTCACTTTTGATGGAGACCATTATCTGCAAGTTAATGGAACTGCTATGGGCACCAAAATGGCTCCATCATATGCCAACATATTTATGGGCAAATTAGAAAAACAACTCCTTGAATCTTCCATCGAAAAACCGCTTTCCTGGTTTAGATTTATAGATGATGTGGATATGAAATGGAATAAAAGTGACGAGAATTTAGATACATTCATCACTCATGCCAACAACATACATCCAAGTATCAAATTTACTCATGAGAAATCTGAATCCAAAATCACCTTCCTCGATACCTCCAGCTCGCTCACAGATGGCATCATATCCACTGATCTATATTCTAAGCCTACTGACACTCACCAATATCTGTCCCCTAAAAGTTGCCATCCTGCTCATTGTACTAAGAGCATCCCGTACAGTCAGGCACTCAGAGTCAAGCGAATATGTTCCAACTCAGAAACAACTAAAAAACAACTACGTCAACTCGAAACCCGCTTGAAGAGAAGGGGCTACAAACACAAAACTATCCAAAAAGGCTTTCAGAAAGCGGAAACTATTCCAAGGAGTAAACTGTTAGAATACAAATATAAAAAGAAAAATAAAAGGACTCCATGTGTTCTTACTTACCACCCATCTCTCAAAAACAGCTTCGGTGTCATTCGTGAGCATTGGAAAACAGTTGAAAAGAATTCCAAACTATCCAAGATTTTTCCCGAGCCTCCCATGATAGCTTTTAGGCAACCCAATAGTCTGGGTAACCTGCTGGTGCGGGCTGAAGTGTCTGATAATAGAAGTAATTCTGGAGAATGTCGTTCGTGTGATGAAAAACGCTGCAAATGCTGCCTGCAGATGCATCACTCATCAACTTTTCACAGTAAGGCAACCGAAAATAACTATAAGATATTTTGCAATGTTAACTGCAAAAGTATGAATGTTATTTACATTCTAGAATGTTCGGTTTGTGGCCTCCAATATGTTGGTGAGTCAAAGCAGCCTTTCCACAAACGCCTCAATGGCCATAGGAGTGATATCTCTAAGAAGCCACTTCTCCCAGTTTCTCAGCATTTCAGACAGTCTGGTCACACACTTGATGACTTTAACCGCATGAAGATCCTAGTGATTGAACAGAACATTCACTGGAGTGATGCCCAGCGACAGGTTCGGGAAAGCTTTTGGATAAAGGAACTAAATGTACATCATCCAAACGGCATCAATAAAAAATACTAAGTTTTATTTTTCACTCATTTTGGGTTGTAAATATACACAGTCACGTATATTTGAGTATTGAGTTTTGTTTTATATTATGATGTTCAGGATTTCGGATTAAATCAATAGACCAAAACTTACCTGTATTATTGAGCTATTTTTATACATATTATCAGTATTGTTAAAATAATTGACACCGAAGAAGGCTATTTGTTAAGCCGAAATATTTGTCAACACGATTTATTAACAACATCTTCGTATAATACCATCTTATATTAGTATCGTTGTGCAAATCTCTAGACTTATATAATTTTTTTCCTTATCTGCACAGTATCGTCTATTCTAGACGATCCGGTACATAGTAAATTTGCTGGTTGGTCCTTTTTATAGACTTCTATATATATATATATATATATATATATATATATAAGTCTAAATTGAGAACAACGTTCAAACCTATGATTGCGTTGGATAAAAACCGCAATTTCTATACGTATGCATGTAAAACAAATTTCTTGGTAGAGGGGTCTAAATACAGCACAAACAATATTTTTCAAAAGACCAAAAAAGTGAAAAAGTATATTTTAACAAAACGCATTTGACTAACAGGTGGAACAACTGATGTTCTTAAACCCTGCTGACTGCCATTGGCGATTGCCAAATAAATTGATTACCAGATGTAAAAAAAGGATCTTAGATATTAATCTAATACCAAACAGAAAACAATAAACATGCGGAAAAGATTGTATACCGCAAACATGAGGTGCAAAAATTTGTACACCATATCCGGATTTCGACAATCAATGTCTCTTCAGTGATGTAAGGGATCTAAACGGTATTTGGAAGGCCATATAATTTACCTCAATTTAGGATAGACTCTTGAATTTTAAAGAGTCGAAATAGGATTAACGGATCATATAAACCCGAAGTAAAATATAATACAAGCCCAAACGAAAAAATATATACAAGTCTAAATTGAGAACATATCTTGAAGGGGCTATAAATACAGCACAAACAACATTTTCCAAAAGACCAAAAAAGTGAAAAAGTATATTTTAACAAAACGCATTTGACTAACAGGTCGAACAACAAATGTTCTTAAATCCTGCTGACTGCCATTGGCGATTGCCAAATAAACGGATCACAAGGTGTAATAAATGGATCATAACTATAAATTCAATACCAAACAGAAAACAATAAACTTGCGGCCAAGATGGTATACCGCAAACAAAGGTTCAACGATTTTTTGTACACCATATCCGGATTTCGACAATTAATGTCTCTTCAGTGATGTTAGGAATCGAAACGGTATTTGGAAGGCCATATAATTTACCTCAATTTAGGATAGACTCTTGAATTTTGAAAGAGTCAAAATAGGAAGAACGGATCATATAAACCCGAAGGCAAATATAATACAAGCCCAGACGAAAAAATATAAACAAGTCTAAATTGAAAACAACGTTCAAACCTATGATTGCGTTGGATAAAAACCGCAATTTTTATACGTGTGCATGCAAAACAAATTTCTTGGTAGAGGGGTCTAAATACAGCACAAACAACATTTTCCAAAAGGCCAAAAAAGTGGAAAAGTATATTTTAACAGTTTGACTATATCTTGTTTCTGCTATCACGCTAGTTACAATAATCATGATAATGTATTGGTGTTGAAATAACGAGAGTTGATTTGTTTACAAATTGTATTGCTGAAAGTTGCTTTGATTACTGTAATACAGTTAAAAGTTAGGAAAGTCGGGAATATACCAATGAGGTTATGAATAGTTGAAGGAAAAAAAATGGGACAAACAGAGTCAACAATACAAAACATGTAAAACTAATAATTAAGCAACTAAAACTGTAAGCAGCAAAAATAGTAAACGATATCAGATTCCCTGACAGGACAGCTTTTACTTGTTTACAAGTGCGTTCACGTGTAGAAAATAACAAGTCGTTTTCCGGTGTCTAGTCAATTTATATGATGTCACGGTGAAGGAAATGAAGATGGGAATTTGATTGTGTCCATGCCCTTGATATTCTATCACCGTTAACCGCACAATTGCTTAGCGACATTTTAACGTTATAAGTAAACTTGTGATTTATTTCGTATCGAAAAGCAGACTTGTAATCAAATTAACTTGAACGACGTAAGCCTTGGTGAAACAGACATTTTCTCAAATTAGTTGTTATCTAAAATGGTGTTGAAGATAACATTAATGTGCTTACATAAATCATAATCCCTGCATACACATTTTAGACAGACAATTTGATAGATACTAAAGCAACACTTGATATATACTCAGTAAAAATTTAAATTGTTCTACATTAACAAAAGAAATATCTCAACCCCAATTCACTTTCATTTTAAAGCTAATCTAAGAATAGAAAATAAGTAAAATATTGTATCACAATCATTATTGTAGATTTTTTAAGCTGCAGTATAAAACACAAAAGCCATTTCAGTAAGATGTAAACTTTTGTTTGGTACAGATTAAGGAAGGACTTTGTTAACCTCGCTCTCCGTGGTTTTTAATCTTCATACAAACACTTGACACGATATTGCATATATACAGCAACGATATTTAGAATATTGCTCTTTTTATAGATATTATCTTATTATCAAAAATATATCAAACATAGATTAATTGCAAATTTTGCATTCCGCTTTAGAAAGGTATACATGTTTCAATAGTACAGCCGCTACTTTCAGGGTGTGGCATTCTGTACTTGAGTATGCCTATGCTTTCTATTATATCGTTATTTTGAGTATACTCATTTTATACTAATTTTATTTTACTTTTTTAGGTTTTCTTCCTAGTTCGTCGATCGAGACCCAAAGTTGTGTTGATTTAAAAAAAAAATTGCCCCCTAAAATGTTCGTATGCTTTATAAAAGTCGTGGCCTTTTCGAGTAGATGTTATTCGTTATTGATATTATAAAATAATCTAAACGTTACGTACATTTTTATCCATCAGTCCTAGAGATGATCCTCTGTTTAGTAATTCAACAACCACCTCTGTTGTTTTATTCATTTCTGCTGCACAATGAAGTGGTGTCTGTCCCTGTTGAAATCGAAAAAGATTTGGGTTTGCCACCTTCATTTGCATAACAGGCCGAAACTCAATGTTTATTTTTCAAGTGTATGGTGTACGAATTTACAAGGGGTCATCTATTGAGACTAAATAAATGCTAAACAACTTTAAACCAGAGTGATAAATTAATGAAACATAGACATGATGGATAATTACATCTTTTGGAAACAATACAACAAATCACACGAGATATGAAAATTGTCTAAAACAGTACATCACGAACGAAATAATAATGGAACAAACTAAACTGCATGCATACACCATGCAAATTAAGGGAATGTCTGCAAGAGTAAATATTGCCTGCTTGACCTTTTACCTTAGTCTTGTGCATGTTGTGGATTATGATAAACAAAAATTCGCATTATTTGATGCACAGACATTGAAACTATAACACGGTTGTGAATACGCAAATCACACAAAAAATCCCTTTTAAGTAAGCCATATGCTCTTTTTACTTGTATGAATACACTATTTTTTATAATCATAATACAATACCCACATTTTTGTCTGTGGTGTTTGGATTTAATCCTCTGTTAATTAGTTCAGAAACTGCGAATATAGCTTCATACATCGCTGCATAGTGAAGATGTGTCATGCCCTGTAATGAATGTTAACTCATTACTTGCATTTACAAAATTACAGATAACAAACCATTTACCTCTTATTTAAAGTCATTGCTTTTGTCAATCAATCTTTTTGTATTTTATCATTTGTTATGCATGGGGGAAAACAAATCATGCAAACTATTTGATTTTTGTTTTATATGTCTTAATTGGAGTAGTTAAACGTGTTGAATTGCATTGTAGGTTATGTTTAAGATATTTGAACCAAGTCGAATTTCTGTCCTTTTCATGGGATCTGATGGTATTTACTCTATTATGAACGTTTTTTTTTCTAAATTTCTAGTAACGTTGTGGTATGTATGTTTCTGATCGCTTACAGACCAACACTGGCCATCAGTTTATACAGCATCTATATCATCCCATCCTATAGTAGTCGTTGTTAAGGTTCATTTATATGAAGTCGGTACATTTATGGACTTCACGGTAGTTTCTTTAAGGAATAAAATTCCTTATTCATGTTATTTTAGATTAAAAAAAAATCCATATGATTAATTGTAGAATAGTGCAGATTTAATTACTCCACTAAATCAAAGCAATGCTATACAAGAACATTATTTAAATTCAGGTTGTTGTTTACCGAATAAATAAAAAGAATTACGTGTTTATCTACGACACTTGGATCTGATCCTCTGTTAAGTAGTTGAGAAACTATGAGGTTCTGATTATATATAATTGCGTAATGAAGTGGTCTCTGTCCCTGATTATATAATAAAAAAAAGATATGGTAAATATATTTATGTTAACTTGGTATTGTTTTATAAACTTAAATCTAAATTCCGATGTAACATTAATTTTGTTGAATATTTCTTGAGGTATAACCTTATAATTGATGTTCAGTTGATACAATAGCTAAAATCTTTTGTTGAATGCTTGACACTGAATTTGTTAAAGGAAGTAAAGTTTTACCCAAAAAAGTATTCTATTGACAGGAACTTCAACGAAAAAGTAATAAATTTCCATCCCCACTGATTTCTTTAGAAAAAAAAGGTTCCGATTCAGTTTGTCAGGTACGTTATAACTCTTTGTGGGGTATCTTTTATTCCGTCATCGCTTGTTCCGTTATACGAAGCTATTTTGATCACGTGGTTTTGATGTCGAATTTCTTATCTACTACAAATGTAAATCAAAACACGGAAACTCCCTTTTATATTTTTGTTTGATATGTTTTAATCCTTGGAACTTTTAAATCGATAAATGTCCGATAATAAACATTACAGGTACACGAAGAAGAATGTTTGCAGGAAATAATTTGATGAACATTTAACGTGCAGGATGGCGAAGGTTAACTCAAATTTAAATCAAATGTTGTCAATTTTTATCGCGAGTTACGAAAATATAAATGTTTTTCTCTATCTTCACATTGTAGAAAAATGTAAACGTGTTTTACTGTATAATACCCACACGGCAGGACCTTTACATTACACTTTGGGATTTTATAACACAAGGTGGATAACATTATACACCTATTTAAATCACAGATAGTTATAATCATAATTAGGAAATTTATATTATTTATTTTTTTATTTAAAGAAAATATTTAATGTGGAAAAATAAGTAAACGTGCCTCAGCTGTTTTTAGGTAAATATCAAAATCATAAGACAAGTTTAAAGCAACTTCAAACTATGGATGGTTTAACGTTTATTTTAAATTTAAATGCTAGATATATCTGTTTTGCTAAAGGATGGTCATGATTAATGGACCACAACTTTGTAATAAGTTTTGGTTCTTTTGATTGTATCATGTTCACCAGAGGGATATATCCACGGTTCCGCGGAAGGGCTGACGTAATAGGCCAAAATGGAAGAATTAAGCCTATAGCAAAGCAAAACGAAAAGTTTCGAACCATTTTCATTATGCCAAAATATTTGTTCTCAATCAAAGACCTTTAACAACCCCTCCTGAATGCTCTACATGTAACCAAATTTTGAATTAAATTTTTTGTTGAAGATTCATGAAATATTTTTGCGCTTGACATTCAGTAAACACTTAATTTAAATATCTGTCAAAATGAGCAGTATTCCTCAATGATAATTGCAGATAATAACTTTTCAGTTTACTTTTTACAAGAAATTAATGATTTGCAAGACTAGCATGTATACATGCATGTTTAGCCACCCGCATGAATAAAAATCTGACGATTACAATTAATTGTCCTAAAACTGAAATGTTCATGGTTTGTGAGAATTTCTTCTTCTTAGTTTTTTGTTGTTGTTCGGTTTTCTTTTCTATCTTTTTATTCGTTTAAACGCAGCAAAACCCGTAGAAACTGACATATTTCATGTATTTGTCATTTAGTGACATGATCGTTTAAGGTTATTTCCTTGACAATTAAGAACACATCCGGTTATTTCTGTATATTAGGCAATTACGATCATTGACCAGGTTAAAAAAGAAATGATGAACCAATGCATCGATTTGACATGTCGAGTTGATTAATTAATTCTTAACGATTTTGCGGCAACGCACTATAAACGTTTGAAGTTGGTTTATTGGAGTTCCTGTCAATATAATACTTCCATGGTTTGCATAACAAAAGAAAGCAAGAACAAAATATTTATTGGTTTAAATTGATGACTTTATTTCTCAATTAGACATAGGAATAAAAACAAACACGTATGCCTATTAAATCATGATCAACCTTTAATTGTTTGGTAAAATTAACGAACAATTTCTAGCCTAAGACATAATTTTGAAACGTTTTTATTTATTGTTTGAGATAAAACTCCAGCCTGAATATTACATTCATTTTCAGGATGATGTTGAACGAGAGGCGAAAGATACCTAAAGGACATTAAAACTCGAAATCCGAAAATACACTGTCTTAAAAAGAAAAAGAAAAAGACAAATAGACAAACAACAAAGCACAAAACACAATATAGAAAACTAAAGACTGAGCAACACGAACCTCATCCTTAAATGGAATAATAACATGTCTATTTTGGTTCAATACTGTCACAATCAGTCGGGTCTTGATTATGCGAATATATGGATCCAGTATTCTGACTCAAATCTTCCAAGTCGTTTCTCTTACTCCAGAAGTCCTCATGCTTGAGGGGAGAATCAGCAAATAACCATCTTAAAGTCATTGGCTTGATCTTTCCAAGAAAAAAACCGATACCCTTCCGCATCTAAGGCGAGGACAAAAGCACCCCCTAAGTGAGACGTGTTTTCCATTGTTCTGACTATTTTATCGTTGATAATACTTTCAGTAAAATTAATAATATGTTAAAATATGTTGTACTGCTCCCGTGGTTATGGTTATGATTTTCACATAAATATTGTAACACCTCCAAATTAGACTTAAATGCAACTGTATAACTGACATGACAAAACAAGACACTACTCCTTTTTGCCTAGAATAAATGGCTTTCTTTGAAATGTACACGCATATATTTTAACTTAACAACATACTTATATCAAATGATCATATCCAACAAGCATCCACGTCTCTTTGAAATATAAGTTGCCCATATTTAATGCTTTTAATTGCTTTTAAAAGAGGGGCGAAAGATACCAGAGAGACAGTCACACTCATAAATCGAAAATAAACTGACAACGCCATGGCTAAAAAAAAAGACAAACAGACACACAATGTACACACAACACAACATACAAAACTAAAGACGAAGCAACACGAACCCCACCAAATACTGAGGGTGATCTCAGGTGCTCCGGAAGGGTAAGCAGATCCTGTTCCACATATGGCACCCGTCGTGTTGCTCATGTTGGTACACACCCGGTAAATAGTCTAATTCGGTAGATCACATTCGTGAAAAGGTTTTAAGTTAAGCAACATTATTCATTATTGTTTAATAATTAAACTGCATTCATGATGAAAATAAATAGAAAACTTAATGTTTACGTATATTTTTTGTCAATATTCTTAATATAGATAATATCTATACTCGTACTAAGTCAGGAGCCTGTTGTTCAGTGGTTGTCGTTTGTTGGTGTGGTTCATAGGTGTTTCTCGTTTCTCGTTTTTGATATAGATTAGACCGTTGGTTTTCCTGTTTAAATTGTTTTACACTAGTCATTTAGGGGCCTATAGAGCTTGCTGTTCGGTGTGAGCCAAGGCTCCGTGTTGAAGGCCGTTCTTTGACCTATAATTGTTATTTTGTTATACATTGTGACTTGGATGGATAGTTGTCTCATTTGCACTGATACCACATCTTCTTTTATATAATAAAGATATAGCTCAAGTAATACATAACTTACGAATATATCTTTCACATTAAGATTTGCCCCTTTATCCAGTAATTCAGAAACTATGTTGGGATGTTTATTTCCAGCTGCATAATGAAGTGGGGTCTTTCCCTATGCAATATTAATATGTAATTAAAACAAATAATGGTGTTAATATATATATTGTAATTAAAGACATGCAAAATGTTCAAACTTTCTTTCCAAGTCTTCAGTACATGTTAAGTAAAATATCGTATACGAGTACAGTGGTAATATCATGTTCTGTGCCGTTAGCAAAATATTAAACCCCTTGTGGTAAGGGCAGTTCTGTTCTGTTCTTTCAAGCTTCCGGAAAGTATATTGAAACAATATTGTAATTTTTACAACCTTGGTATTTTCTCAGGTTTAGATTGTACTTCACTTAGACTAGAGGAAATTGAGACAGCTGTTTTCAGTTCTAAGTACTTAACTGTGATAGAATTTTCGAGCAACTATACAAATAATGTTATTAATCATATTAATCTTAGAAAAAGCACTTTTGATACATGTATTTTTATATTGTTTTATAGAACTAAAAAAACATTCGTTATTATCAATTTAATATATTGAGTTAATTAAATACCTTAATAATAGAATGTCAATCATTTAAATCATTTAACCTATGTAAGTCAAAAGACATAAAATATTATCCGAACGACCCAAGAGAAGTGAATTTTGGACCAAATGCTAGATTATTTGGTCATATGCTTAGGAAATAACCGCATACTCATTAATTGCACTGAAAAAGGTGTGGTACTGTCAGGTTTAATCACGATCACAAGAAAGCTCCCAAGAAACAAGCAAAAAAAAAAAAAAAAAAAAAAATGGCGTAAAGTACCGATCTAAGAGTAACAAAAATAACTGTGTTATCAAGCAAATAACAAAGTATGTAAGTAATGTCAGATGTCGTTTTTTTTACTTACAGTATTTGGTTGTCCTTCGGAAAAGTACATACACGAATAAAAATTAAAACCCGGGGATATAAATAACATTTAATAAACATATTTTAGATAACATAATTAGATAAATATAACTAAAATCGGTACAAAATAACTCCAATATTGTAATATGCGCAAACTGCACGAAAAAGATGCATTACGGATATTGCACACATAATTAACGATGCACCGCCAGTTTCGATATATGAATCTTTGTTGATAGTCTTTTAAACAATACTTGTCAGGTCCCATCAAAAGCGTGGGCATACTGATAATTGTACACATACTCTTTAGTTGAAACGATAGTTATTTTTTCTGTGCCTGCAACTGAATTGTTTTAAGAAAGAAATGTTAACCATACATAAAGAAAGCAAGGGGAAACAAATGTATGGTTAAAAGTGATGACTAGTTTACTGTGATCATAGATATAATAGCCATAGATAAATTACTCAGAATATTAATGAATATGTCCAACTAAGCCCCATGAAGTTTCCTTTGAAATATGAAAAGCATGGCACTGCGCGTAGTGGCCTGTGATGTAGATGATATTTGCCGACATCCTCCCAATGGACTAATTATTTATCATAATTATATTTAAATTATCAGACACTCGTCATATCAGCCGATTATTAATGTGCGTTACCTGTCTCAAGTAAAAATGTTGCCAGGAGGTGGAAGCACAAAAGGCGTCTAGTTGAAAAAGTTGTTTGGTTTTAATTTATTCGGAGAAAATTGGTCAACAAATGAGAAGGTTATGCCGTTGTTGAAATAATAAAATAGAGAAATCAAGGAAAATTTAAATGGACTTATCAAGTATATAAAATTAAATTGTCATAGCACTTGCATCGGTTGCACTCGGGAAATAAGACCTGTATGATTGACAAGAGGAGGCATATCGTTTACTGATAGTATACGTGGTTAAGAGGTCGAACCGAGTTGAATTTTTCTATGGCGATTTAGAGAAAAAAGTTTTTATCGAGATTCAAAAGAGAGAAATCATATTTTATGTCAGAAAGAAGAAATTAACATTTTTTTCAAGTAAAGAAAATAATTTTTACAAGTTTTGAAACTTTCTGTCGTTACGGTAACACGAAGTTTTTGAAAATAAAGAGGAAAAAAGAAATACATTTTAAACTTATTAAATGTCTGCACTGTGGATTATACAAGCTTGAACTAGCTGCTTAAATATATGTACATAAGAAAGTTCCATGTCACTTGATTTTACTGAATGTTTCGGTAAAACCTGGGACTATTTTACTGTTAGTATAATTACCGAAGAATGAAATATTACTCTCCCGATTCACAATTTATTAGATATTGATCGACAGCAATTGCAAATGAAGGCTAATTAACAGCAGGCGTAATATATATATAATGTGGGCTCAGTACTTTATCTATGGCTATTATATCTATGCGTGATATACATGTAATCTGTATTTCTCAATTAGACCTTAGAACATAACAGGACACTTATGCGGAAAAATCGTGAGCAACCTTTAATTGTTTGGTAAAAGTATGAGGGGAGAACTTATAAATGCATAAATTCAATTACTCTCTAACTTTACAAATACAATTATATTAAGTTAATTACACATTAATTACACAAAATTATGGGTGGCCTATATTGTTTAATCACTTTTATGTTATGTCCCAATTATTTTTACTTGTAAATTAGATAAAACTGCATTCAGAAAAGTAATGCAATTGAACAGAAAACTTAATTTATATGTATACTTCTTATTAATTTTCTTAATATAGAAAATAAAATGTAAGTCAAGTAATCCATAACTTACGAATATATCAGCCACATTAAGATCTGCCCCTCTATCAAGCAATTCAGAAACTATTTTGGCATGTTCATTTTCAGCTGCATAATGTAGTGGTGTCTTTCCCTATGTAATATTAATATGTAACAAACATATAAAGACATGAGAGAAGTGGATATTACCGAAAGGTAGTCCAAAGCTAATTATAACTAAAACATACAATTCATGTTTTCCGAGATTTAAAAATCAATCAGTACATGTCCATTTGATAATCATTGAAGACTTGCAAAACAGTCGTAGAAAAAAATGGTCGTTGGCAATGCAAATACATGAGTATCGATATGTTTTAGGACCAAACGTGTCAAAACGTGTAAGCTATTTTATAGCAACACTTACTTAGTTTATTTTTTTTTCACTTAATTTTGAACAAAATTAATGTTAGTACCGATAAAAATCTTACACACAGACTGAAAGATTTTGCTAACCAACGAGTTTCTTCTAAGAATCAACAACATTTACGTGGTTTATTAAAAATTTCACCGTACAAATGAGGATACGATATTCCGTTTGTTATAATGTCTACAGAGAACAGGAACAGTCTAACTTTCAACCTAAATATTTTTATCTACACATACAATTTGTTAAAATATTAAGTAATTCGTTATAACGAAATTCCTCACTTAGTAACTTTCTAGTGATACACAGATGAAGTATATATGTGAAGTTAGCGATCGGTTCGTTATTCGTTTTTCGATATTCAATATCCAACCGGCTGCTAGCATTCGGTTCGATATTCAAATTTTCTTAGCTGAATGTACGTCCGAAAAAGAAAAAAAAAGAGCAACAAAGGAACACGAAAGCGTTTGTTTTGTCTTAAAGTTATTAATAGACTTTTCCATTTGTAATTATATTAAGGAAATGTAGATAAGAAAAAGCATGTTGTAAACATTAAAATGCATTACATCTTATACATATATATATTGCCAATGGTTTTAGCCAACAAACAAGTATGACCTCGCCATATTTTGTATGTGTTGTCCCAAGTAAGTAGCCTGTACTTTAATGGTTGTCGTTTGTTGTTGTATATCATATTTGTTTTTCGTTCATTATTTGGAACATAAATCAGGCCGTTAGTTTTCTCGTTTGAGCAGTTTTACATTTTTTATTTCGAGGCCATTTAAAACTTACAATGCGGTATGGGGTTTACTCATTGTTGAATGCCGTACGGTGACCTATAGTTATCAATTTCTGTGTCATTTGGTTTTTGTTGACTGTTGTCTCATTTGCATTCACACCACATCTTTTTTATTTTTACATTGGCATTGATGGTTGGTTAAGAATAAAAAAAATTAGCAAATAAAATCATCATAGATACCAGGATTGAAATTTTGAACGTCAGACGCGCTTTCCGTATACAACAAACTCATCAGTGACGCTCGAATCAAAAAGTTTTAAAAAGCCAAATATAGTAAGAAATTGAAAAGCACTGAGGACCCTACATTTTGCAAAGTTTTACCGGATACAGCTAAGGTTTATCTATTCCTGTGGTAGAATATCCTTAGTATTTTGAATAGTTAAATTTTTACTTATGACCATATTGATGATAATCCAAGTCAAATCAGAAGGGCTGACTACTGGGCTGGTTATACCCTGGGGGAGCAAAACTCGACCATAGATCATTATCTGTAACATTCCGGCAGCACGTGCATATGGAGTATATATTTACTAGTTTAAAGCTTGCGCTTGCGTTCATTATGATCTTCTTTTACTTTAGAGGACTTGATATTCATATATTTTACTTTGGGTGATTTTGTCCATAAAAATACATTTTTCGTAATTATCAACCTTGTGTAATGGTTTTGCATTGTTACTGTCAATTTTATGGGAGCCGTCATTTTAAGAACCGTCAATAACAGGTGCGTAAGAAAAACGCTGTATTAATTTTTAACGAATGACGTTAATACTGTAACGTTCATGTGCGTTAGAAAACTTGGGATTTATTATTCACTGTTCGACGTATGATCATTCAATCATTTCAATGCAAGTTCGCCTCATCGAAAAAAATATACCACATGACTAAACATCCTCATGTTGCAACACATCTCCGTCGACATTCGGGAGCTGCGACACCATTTGGTGGCATCGAAAAAACTTATGGTATAAGTATTCTATAACCTTCTGCAATTTATACAAAAGCCGTTTAGAATCATCACATTTGCACAAAGATCTATTCACTGTCCCTGTACTGTCACTGTTATAAACGTCATTCTTTTTATGACTTATGGAAACCTCCATTCAAACCCATACAAACTTACAGCTATCTCGGATATTGCCAGTCAAACACTTTACAGACCAGTTCGCATTGGAAAAAGTGAAAAGGAGA